CACACTCACACTCACACTCTCACACACACACACACACACACACTTACACAAACTCACTTCCTGAAAGCAGAGGAATCGTCCAGAGCTCTGACACACCGCCTGGTATTTAGCAAATCCAACTATAAAACCAAACAAATATACACAACTGACTTAAGGTGTTTTCATTTGTTTTCTTGATGCATCTCTTACAAAAACTTCTGATGCAACTTCATCTTACAATATGGCATCAAAATGATTATTAGTTTGTGTTGATCAATAATATATATATAGATTCATAGACAAAATTTGACAAATAAAAACATTTGTTTAAATAGATTAGCATTTTCACATATTGAAGTTTATTTAAATCTGCAGTCAGTAACTTTTTTTTGGTTAAAAATGATCCAGATTCAATATTTGAGCAAGTACATAACCAGCCAGTGTTCAAAACTATCACCTTACTTTAGCCTGATTCACAACGGTTAGCTTATAATAATGTTTTCTAATTTGAGTGGTTACGGGTAGGTTTTTGCTGGAAATTCAAGCATGGCACTGCGTCATTATGTCATGTCTGTAAACATAAAGAAGTTGTCCCGGCTACTAGGCTATCACATGTGAGGATCCTGCAGCTGGCCGATCGTTTATAGCCTTTTCTCACAGCAGCCAGAATAATCAAATGTCAAAAAATCATTTTGATGGCGGATTGTAATCCAGAAAGGATTATATGAAACACATGTGAATGGAATAAAATTGTATTCCAGTTTTAAATGTGCTTCTGATTACAGATAGCCTGGGATTGCACAAGATTTGTATTTTAAAGACAACCAGTTCGAAGGGAGCATAGTTTGCTTTTTGGGTTAAAATAATTTCTTGGTATGAAATTCGAAGAGTATGACGATTAGAGATTAGATTAGACTGTGCAGAAATTTAAATCTACACACTAATACACACTATAGTCAACGCTGATGTTGTTAACATTAATAATCTGAGAATAAAGTATAACAATAATAATAATAATTTGCACGGTTTGATGTGATATGTGCTAATCGATCGTTAGATTAAATCACCATTGGTAGCACAATTTATTGTAATGCTTTTTTCCTCAGTTGGTCAGAACAAATGTGGCAGACTTGTTACTGACTTGTTCAGATGACAATATCCGGTGACAATTCTTATTTGGGTCATATATTCCAAGACATAGGCTAGAATCTGTGATTACTAAGTATAGGATTCACACCGGCGCGGTGACTGACTGCCACACACACACACACACACACACACACACACACACACACACACACACTCCTCAAAACATTAGGTTCATCCGCGCTGGAGCCGTGCCGGCACACAACCCACGCAAGGAAGGTAACGCCGCAAGTAACTGCAATTCCAGGTTTTTAAACAGAGAGGGCGACAAAGAGGCAAAACTTACGGACTGCAGCTTTAATAAAATATAAACAATTCAATGTGCATGATAGGTTTATGCTGATTTACAAAAAAAACACTGTATTACAATAGTAATATTCTAATAATAATCATTAAGAATAATGAAAACAAATGTTATGTAAATATACATAAAGTAATGGTCCTAAAAATATAAATAGGCTTAATTTTCTTAATGTAAAATATCATTTAATATTTTTTTCTTTTGATTTTGGCGTCAGATGTGGCCTGGAGATTCACCTCAAAATTACAGGAAAAAAAATTAAACTATATTATCACCCAATTTACTTTTGGTGCCAATGGTGCCAAGTCTGATGGAGTCTGTATTTCTGAGACAAATTATGGAAGTATTTTACAATCAATGCATTTGAAACAGTTTCTGAATCAAATCACAGTTCAGTGTATGGAATCTGATGAATCACTTGAGTCAATAAAACTGGATCAAACTGAATACCGATGAATCAAATTAATTGTACCGATGTATTAAAATATTCTCACACACGAGATCTGTCAGCATTAACACACACACGCGTCATGCTGCTGTCACACTCATCGTCTGTTTCTACTTCAGATCTGTTACATTAGTTAAGTTAATCCAGTTAAGACGGCATGCTCTCTCTCACAGAGATCTCAGTGTGATGTGTTCATCTACAGGTGTGTGTGTGTGTGTGTGAGATGCTGAAAGCTCGGTATTCTAAACATGCTCCTGACACCAGCTAAACACTGATAAGAAACTTCTTTTGATTCCTGAAGTGCACAAACAGAGCGTGTGTGTCTGTTTAACGTCTCATGAGCTTGATGCATGTGTGACATGATAACCGGGTGAATGTGAAGACAGCGTCCTCGAGCGCTGCAGGAACACACACACACACACACCTCCGTGTGGGCTGGAGGAGCTGTGGCCTGAGATCAGCATGGGAAGGCCTCTGTCCTCGAACCTCAGCCTCCATCTCTCCAGCAGCTCTCTGGAGTTATCCTGACATACACACACACACACACACACACGATGTTGTTCAACCGTATTCTTCAGACTGATTTCATATTCAGAAGGGGATACTGTTGAGTGTCTGTCCCGCACTGCCGTCGTCATACACAGACAGCTCCATTCGGCCCGGGAAACCCTGCTCCAGTATGGCCTGCAGACACTCATCCAGCCAATCATTAAACACGGGCACGATCACTGGCTGAAGCAATAGAATAAAACAGAACTGAGTTACAACAAAACTGATTAGAATAGAGCACAACAGAATAGAATAAAATACAGCACAACAGAAAAGAACATAATATATTACTACAAAGAACAACAAATTAGAACAGTGCAATGCAAGAGAATAGAGCAGAGCAGAATAGAATAGAATAGAATAGAGCACAATAGAATAGATTAGAACAGAAGAGAGCACAACGGAAAAGAGAATAGAACAGAACAAAGCACAATAGAAGAAGAAAACAGAACAAAGTACAACAGAGTAAAATATATCGTAATTGAAAACAACAGAACAGACTACAGCAAAGCAAAGTGAATTGAACAGAGCATAATAGAATAAAATAGTACAGAGTACAATGGAATGGAATAGAACAGGATAAAGTACAACAAATAGAATATCATCACAACAGAATGGAACAGAATACAGCACAATGATAGATTATAATAGAACAGAATAGAGCACAATGATAGAAAAGAGCACAATGATAAAATAGAGCACCACAGAAAAGAGAATATATTAAAACAGAGAACACAAGAATAGAACAATAACTAAATAAATATATAATATAGAGCAAACAAGGACAGAATAGAATGCAGCACGACAGATTATAACAGAGCAGAGAACAACAGAATAAAATACAGCTCACCAGAATACAAATAACAGAGCTGACAGAATAGAATGGAATAGAACACAATAGAATAAAATAGAACAGAGTACAAGGGGCAACAGAATAGAGTACAACTGAACAGAATTGAGTGCAACGAATAGAATACCAGCTCATCAGAATGGAACACCACAATGGAATAGAACAGAACAAAATAGAGTACAACAGAACAGAATATAGCACAATTGAATATAATAGAATATAGTACAATAAAATAGAATTCCAGCACAACATAATTGAACAGAATAAAGCACAATTGAATAGAACGGTACAGAATAGAGTACAACATAAAAGAATAAAGCACAATGGAATAGAATAGAATAAGTTACATTTACCATAATTTTGATACATATATTAGCATAATTAATATGGTATATCCTAGGAACACAAAGTGTCACAGTTATTATTATTATTTTCAATACCAGATTTATAGTTTAATTCTTCACAGTTTCAAGTAATACCTAACAAACGTCTATTTGTCAAATGCTTCGCTTGTAATGTGTTTGTGCTACGTTTCCTTACAGTAAATGATATTGCTTGATATCTGTTTTCAGATACGGTCATTGCTGCTGATATTGTCAGGACTGAGGCATCTCTCAAACACACAGCAGCTGTGCTCACACACATGATGACCTGTGACCTGAGCTCATCCCTGCTGGATAGAGTTGAGATCAGCTGTGTTTTGGCTCTTCGTTCACTCTCGATTGGACGAGAGAATAGGCGGACGTGCATTTGCTTCGTCTGAACCGCTGCTGTGATTGGACGGACGAGGAAGCAACGTCATATGATTTAATTAAATAAACACTTTAGAGACAATACTTAAAATAAATAAATAATATAGCATTACCTAAAAAAAACATAAGATTCAAAATGGCAAATCAAATTAAAATCCATATAATTTATATAAATAAAAATAAATAAATTAAAACTATGTGTGTGTGTGTGTATATATATATATATATATATATATATATATATATATATATATATATATAGTAAAACTAATAAAATATAAATAAAATAAATAAAATAAAATATATACAATTTATATAAAATAAAAACAAATTAAGAAAAATTACATTAGTACAAATACAAAAAAAATATATAAAATTAAATATACATATTTAAACTGGACACATTATTGCAGCAATAATAATAATACTTCACTGCTGTACTCGAGACCTGTTGAGCTGCTCACCTGTGCAGACCTGCCTGCATCGGTCCTCACCTGCTCGCCTCCCAACGCTCCTGTTTACGGTCAAGTGAATGTGTGACGAACTAGACATTTAGCCTACACCTGCTGATGCAGTCACACTGCCACGCCTCAACCCCTCCGTCACACACACACACACACACACACACACACAGAGAGAGAGAGAGAGAGAACAGCACCTGAGGTCATGCTGATGTCTGTGCCCTCCGGACAGAGAAACATCTCGATCAAGTGCATTCTGCTCATGCCAACACGCCAAAGACACACTATCTCTGTGTTTATTTCTATTAAAATATGATCGTTTAAGATTACCACTGAAAAAAAAAAATATATATATATTTGTCAGCAATGGAGAATTTTGCACAAGGAGTTTGCAGCTTCTCAAATTTGCACAAGATACCAAAATCTGCAAAGAGATCTCATACAAACTCAAATATCTCTCATCAAATCCGAGCGGCTCCACGTGCACTTTAGAGCTCTGAAGGACTTCGTATCA